GCTCGGGCTGCTGCCGCTGCTGGGGCTGGGCCGCTACTCGCTGCAGTACCCGGGCTCCTGGTGCTTCCTGACGCTGGGCGCGCGGCCGGGCGACGTGGCCTTCGCGCTGCTCTTCGCGCTGCTGGGCGGCCTCTCGGTGGCGCTGTCCTTCGTGCTCAACACCATCAGCGTGGCCGCCCTGTGCCGCGTCTACCACGGCCGCCAGGCCGCCCAGCAGCGCCCGCGGGACTGCGAGGTGGAGATGATGGTGCAGCTACTGGGCATCATGGTGGTGGCCAGCGTCTGCTGGATGCCCTTGCTGGTGAGTCAGAGGACCTCGAGGGTCGCAGATGACGGGGGACTGCCCATCTCTTTGCTGTCAGGGCTTATGAGCCCGGCACAGATGACCCCTAAATGCATGTTCCGGGCTGGGACATATGCCGCATGAGGAGACTGAGAGGTCCACAGAGGTGCTTCAGGGCTGTATCTAGGATACGATAGAAAAGTTTGCAGAGAAAGGGCTTTGGAGCTGGGGCTTTGAAGGATAAAGAGGAGTTCACTTGCTAGACTAAAACTAGGGAAAGCACTGTGGATGAATTGCTGAATGAGTCAATGATGTCCGAGTCCATTTCGTGTCTAGCACAGGGCTGGACTCCAGCATCCCTGCACAGATTTTCTCTGGGTGGGTCAGGGGGCTGGGCTCAGAAGAGGAGCTTCACAAGGTGCCTTTTTATTTTCACAGTGCAGGATGGAACCCAGTGCTTTCACACTGAGCTACACCTCCAGTCCTTTTTGAGACAGGGCCTCGCTAAATTGCTAAGCTGCGCACACTGGGCTCAAACGTGGGATCCTCCTGTCTCAGCTTCCCAGAGTGCTAGGATGACAGGCATGTGCCACCACACCTGGGTACAAAGTTCTCTCTTGTAAACTGGAGTCCTTGCACTGAATGGGTACAGACATCCATCAGGGGCTCAGTTCCCTCTGGTTATGGGATTAACAAGATGACACAGGCCTGGGCATAATGGCGAATGCCTGTAATTCCAGCACCGGGGAGGCTGAGGCAGGAGGATTGCCACAAGTTCAAGGCCAACCTGGGCTACATAGCAAGACCCTGTCTCAAAACACGAAAAGCAAGGTGCCAACACAGGCTGGGGAGCAGCTCAGGGGTGAGCACTTGCTGAGCATGGGTGAGACCTGGGTTCCCTCCCCTCCACTGCAAAAAGAAAGAAACATTGAAGAACTTAGTGATACTAAGTAGGACGGCTCCCCTAATTCTGTCTGATAGGTAAACTCCTGTTCATTCTTCAGACCCCCACTCCCATGGTTTAAAGCAGGGCAGAGTTCATTCTGGGGGGCAGAGAGGAGGAGGCTGCAGGAGATCTCAGGAATGAACTGCTCAGGGACCTGGGGGAAGTACTACAGGCAGAGGGCATGGCTGTGCAAAGGTCCTGGGGCTGGACAGAGCTGGGCATGGTGCAGGAGCGACCAGGAGTTGGTGCGGCTGGAGTAGAGGAAGTGAGGGGCAGAGAGGGAGCAGGGAGGGAAGGGGAGGCTGGGAGGGGACAGGCCGCCGTGCAGGGCCCTGCAGGCTGCAGGAGGACTTGGTCTTTGGCTCAGGGAGGTGGGAGCTATGGAGGGCTGAAGGCAGAGGAGGGAGGACCTGGCTTGGTGCTCATGGCGGCCCCTGGTGTAGGGGACTGAGTTTTGCACCTGACCATCCTCCCATGTGTCTTGGCCTCTGCTGTGTCCCCAGGTCACCAGCACATAGTGGGCACTCAGGAAATAGTATAGTGTCCATATGGCCTTACATTTTAATAAAATGCAAATTATTTCAGAATAACATAATTCTTAATTATAATTATTTGTAATTATAAAATATAAACCAGCTGTGGTGTTTCACACCTCTTACCCCAGCTACTCAGGAGGCTGAGGCAGGAGGACTGCGAATTTGAGGTCAGCCTGGGTAACTTAGCTAGGCCCTGTCCCAAAAACAAAAAAATAAAAAGGGTTAGAGATGTAGCACCACAAAAGATAAGTAAAATAATATAAGCACTATAATTATTCTGTTATTATTATAAGTAATAGTTGTATCATTATGCAGTATTATAATTAAATAATGCATAATATGCAACATTATATAATTATGTGTAATTGTATTTATAATTACATTAACTATATAATAACTATTATGTATTATTTTTTAAATTGTTACCTGTTATATAATAATTTATTAAACCTTGTTTTTATATTTAATAATAAATATAAATTATATGTTGAAAGATATAGAGAAAGTTAATACTTTAAAAAGTATTATAAAATTTTGAAAAAAAAAATTTTGGCTGTGCGTGGTGGCTCATGCCTGTAAACCCAGCACGCTGGGTAGCCGAGGCAGGGAAATTGTGAGTTTGAGCCCAGCCTGGGCAGTTTAGACTTAGTGAGACCTTGTGTCAAAATAAAAAACAAATCCGGGTGTGGTGGCGCACACCTGTAATCTCAGCACTTGGGAGGCTGAGGCAGGAGGATCTTTGCAAGTTCAAGACCAGCCTGTGCCACAAAGTGAGCTCAAGGCCAGCCTGAACTGCATAGTGAGACCCTGTCTCAAAAAGACAAAGAAAATTTAAAAATACAAAATAAGAAGGACTGAGGATGGAGCTCAGTGTGAAGGCCCTGAGTTCAGTACCCATTGCTGAAAAAAGAAAAGACCTATGTATACCGTCTATATTTATATAAATTTAATATAGTTTAAAAGTATTGGAAACATATAAAATTTAAATTATTTATTATAAAGTTTTAGATCTGGGCATGGGTGCATGCCTGCCATCCCAGCTCTCTCAGGAGGCTGAGGCAGGAGGATCAACATGAGTTCAAGCCAGCCTGGGCTATATAAGGAGACCCTGTCTCAAAAAACTAAAAGCGAGAAAGTTCTCTGAGGAAGGTGTTAGTGGAGTAACCCAGCAGGCCGCGCCGGGCGTGGGCTGAGAACGCCGCCTCGTCCCCGGCGCCCAGGCCCGGAGCCGCGCTCACCGCCCGCCCCCCGTGGTCCCGCAGGTCTTCATCGCACAGACCGTGCTGAGGACGCCGCCGGCCATGAGCGCCTCTGGCCAGCTGTCCCGGGCCACCGAGCGGCAGTTGCTCATCTACCTGCGCGTGGCCACCTGGAACCAGATCCTGGACCCCTGGGTCTACATCCTCTTCCGCCGCGCCGTGCTGCGGCGTCTACACCCGCGCCTCAGCATGCGGCCCCGGTCGCTGTCCCTGCAGCCACAGCTCTCCCAGGACGCCAGGGGGCCACTGTGACTGCGGAGTGCCCTTTGCTTGCCCCAGGTGCTCCCTGGTCCCTGTGTAACACCCTGCCGTGCCACTCAGAGCCCCCAGCACCCTGCAGGCCCCCAGGGGGCGCCTGGAAGGAATCGGACTGTGAAGCCCAGTGAAGTGAGGGTTCTTCCGGAAGCCCTCTGAGCTGGGGGTGCTGTGATCCCTAAGAGGAGGCCTTGTGGGGTTAGAGACCTCCTCTGCAACCCTATCTGGAGCGGCTTTGCCTAGAACAGGCTCAGAGCGCACGGCTTGGCGGTGCATGTCATCAGAGCTAGTTGGGAGGCTGAGGCAGGAGGATTGCAAGTTCGAACTCGGCCTGAGCAATTTAGCCATTTAGTGAGATCCTGTCTCAAAATTTTAAAGAGGGGCGGGGATGCAGATCAGTGCTGAGCACTTGCTTAGCACGTGCACAGCCCTGGGTTGGACCCCTAACACCTCAAAAAATAAAGTGAACAGTAAGAGGGGCACCCCCTCTCTTGCCAAAATAGATCCCAAAGTGTCTGGCTTTATTTTCCTTCTGTCGAAGCTCTGAGGGCTGGGCGAGGAGGGCCAGGGCCAGGCTGGGTTTGAACTTGGGATCCTCCCGCCTTGGCCTTCCAGAGTGCTGAGATCACGGGCGTGTGTCTGTCTTTCATCTCTGCCTGGTGACAGCGCACCACAGGCCCATGGACAGCACCTTGGCCGCTACCGTGGCAGGTAGCAAGCGCCAATAAATGACATTTTCCTGGATCACCCGCCTGTGCCCGCGGGCCGCTGAAGAGGGCCCTTGGCATACAGCGGGCGCCTAGTGGGCCCCGGTGTTGCCGCCCCCAGCTCCCCGCGACGACCACAGCTGGACAAGGGGACCGCGGGGTGTGAGGAGCCTTTATTCACAGGGCGCCCTACCCTGGAGGTACAGAAGCCAGCGCCTCCGCCCCGCCTCGTCCCCCACACATCGGATCCACTTACAAGTCCTTGGCCAGGCGCCTGAAACCGAACCCTGTTTCCACGACCCCTCCCCGCCGGCCAGGGGAACCAGGTCACCTGTGGGGCCTGGGAGAGCCAGGCTGGGCGGGGCTGCGGGAGCCGCCTGACGTCACACCGGGGGCGGGGCCTGGCGCCCCAGGGCTGGGGGAGGGGCGCGTCCCCTGAGCTGTGCGCTCCGGGGCTGGGAACTCAGGAGGCTCCCCTTGGGGAAAGGCCTGGGGTGACCGATACAGGTGGTAGGGTGGGCTTCGGGGGTCCCAGCTGCGGCTTGGGGGAGAGGGGGGGTTTCTGGGGCAAAGTGGGAGCCGTTGGGTGGGGGGCCAGGAGGGAGTCTGAGGAGCTTGATGGGGCGCCCGGGTCGGCCTGCGCTCCGGGTACCCGGTCAGGAGGCCAAGGCCGGGTCCAGGGGGCTTTGCAGGCTGCTGGAGTTGGGGCTCTGGCGGCTGAGCTCGGGTCAGGGGTCTGTGGGTGGAGCCCACTTCTAGAGCTGATCTGGATCCTTGAGCTGACGTGGGTTTCGGAGCGGAGCCCGGTGCCAGAGCTGGCCTGGGATTCGGAGCTGAGGGGGCCTCTGGCGCTGGCCTGGCCGTCGGAGCAGAACTGAATCCTGGGACTGAGCTGGATTCTAGAGCGAGGCTGGCTTTCGGAGCTGGGCTGAGTCTCAGAGCCGGACTGCATCCGGGAGCTAAGGGGGGCTCCAGAGCTGGGCTGAATTCTTGCACTGGGCTGAATTTTTGAGCCCACCTGGGTCCCTGGGCTGAGCCGGGCTCCAGCACTGGCCAGAGTTCTGGAGCTGGCTTGGGCTCCAGAGGCAGGCTGGGTTCTGGAACTAAAGGAAGAGCTGGGCTGAATTCCAGAACTCGTCTGGCTTCCTGGGCTGGGCTGAGCTCTAGAGCTGATCAGCTTCCCTGAGTCTGGCTGAATAACTGCGCCGGCTGGGACTGTGGCCTGGAGCCCGTGTCTGGAGCGAGGCAGGGTTTGAGAGCCGCACTGGGAGCTGGAGGTCGCTTGAGCTCCTGGGTGGTGCTGGGTCCTGGAGCTGGGCCCGCTCTCAGAGCCGGCCTGGACTTCGGAGCTGGCGTCTGTGGCTGTGCTGGTCTGTGTCCCAGCACTGGAGTGGATTCCCAAGTGCAGCTGGATTCGGGAGCGCAGCTGAGTCTGAGACACGGACTGTGTTTCGAAGCTGGGCGGCTTTTCAGAACTGGCTTGTGCTCCAGAACCGAACTGACCCCTGGAGCCGGGTGCGACGCCTGGGCTGGGCTGAGCTCTGGAGCTTGGCCAAGCCTTGAAGTCCGTCTGGGTCCCAGAGCTGGTCTGTATTCTGGAGCTGGCGTGTGTTTTCCAGGGAGTGGGGGGCTCGGAGCCAGACCAGGTTCTGGAGCTGGGCTTTCCCTCGGGGATCGAGGGTGTTCCAGAGCCAGTCTGAACTCCGGAGCTGGGCCTGGCTGCGGTGGCAGGCTGCGCTCTAGAGCGGGGCTCTGTCTCAGAGCTGGACTCATCACTGGAGCTGGACGGGGGAGCTGAGTGGACGTGGGCTGGGGGTGAGGGGGTTTTAGGGCAGGGCTGAGGTTTGCATCGGGACTGCACAGCAGCGTGGAGCTGGCTGCCCGGGCTGGCTTGCGTTCTAGAGCTGGCCTGCTGCTTGACTCTCTCCTGGCTTCTGAGGCTCCCTGCCGCCCCAGAACTGCCCTGAGTGTCCGCGTCAGGCTGAGCCACGGGGAGACCTTCGGTTCTGGAATCAGGATGAGTGTTACGGCAGGGCTTGGTCTCAGAGCCGGACAGGGTGCTGGAGCTGGCATCGATCTCTGAACTGGGCTGGACCTGAACACTTGTCTGCGTTCCAGAACGTGGTTTGATGTCAGGGCCCGGCAGGATTCTAGAGATGGTCTCGGTCTCAGGGCCCAGCTGGGCTCTGGAGCTGGGCTTGGGTTCAGGGATGAATTTGGTCTCGAAGCTTGACTGGGATCTGGAGCTGGGCTTGATTTCAGGGTTGAGCTCAGTTCTGGAGCTGGGCTCGCTTTCAGAGAAGAGCTGGATTTCAGAAGTGGGCTTGGTCTCAGGGCCAACCTGGGCTCTGGAGCTGGGCTTGGGCTCATAGCCAGTCTGGGCACTAGAGCTAGGCTTGGTCTCAGGGGTGAGTTTGGTCTCGAAGCTTGACTGGGATCTAGAGCAGGGCTTGTTCTCAGGGCTGAGCTGGGCTCTGGAGCTAGGCGTGGTCTCAGGGCTGAGTTTGGTCTTGAAGCCTGGCTGGGATCTGGAGCAGGGCTTGGCCTCGGCCCCTGGCTTGCTGTCCGAACAGGGCTGTGGTCTAGAGGAGCTGGGTGGGATTTCCAAACTGGGCTGGCTTCTGGAGGCGAACCTGGCCTCAGAGCTCGGCCGGGGCCGGGCACTGGAGCAGGGCTGGGGTGGGGTGCTGGGCTCTGGGCTGGGGCTACGCTGGCTTCCAGGACACACTAGCCACAGGCCTCCCTGGCCTCGCCGATGGCGGCCCACACCTCCACCACAAACTCGTCTGGGAAGGCGAACTCGCCTAAGACGGAGTCTAAACAACTCGCAAACTCCTGGACGCTGGCCGTCTTCTTGGAAGTCTCTACCATGGTGGAGGCTGCGGGCCAGGTGGGGGAGGCAGGTGAGGCGCTCCAGGGCCCCACTCCCCAGGGACCCCAGCCTCTTCCCACTCCCTCGCCCGGGGACCCCCGGCTTACCCTGGCCCCTTACCCAGCTCAGGGTCTCGGATGCCCATGTAGCTCTCCAGCAGGTCGTCCACCTTCCGGGACGCCTCCTCCTCAAACTCACTGGGCTGGGCGTAGGGAGGAGCAGAGGGTGAGGGGCTCCGACCACTGCAGCTGCCCTCCCAGCACCCCCTAGGGAGGACCATGTGCTCCAGAGCCACCATTATACCAGCCTTTCACTTCCCACGTCGGCAAACAGGCTCTGAGAAATGGATCTTTTTTATTGGTGCCACTAGCGGGTAGAACCCAGGGTCTTCCTACTGAGGCCCATCCCCAGCTCTTTTCTATTTTTTATTTTGAGACAGGGACTCACTAAATTGCCCAGGTTGGGCTTGCATTGTGATCGTCCTGTCCCAGTCTCCCAGAGTGCTGGGATGTCAGGTGTGCGTCACCAACCCTGGTCAAGAAGAGGTTCGTATCCAAAGCCACAGTGAGTCGGCAGCAGAGCTGTAAGTGAGGGGCCCTAGGAACTCCTCCTGTCACTCACCACTTCCTCCACGGTGGCAGCACCCCCAGAACGCAGCCTCAGGGTTTCCTTCCCACTGGTCACCTTCGCTTCCACAGGGTATTTGCTGCTCCGGCTCCGCTGGCCAATCATATCTGGAGGGGACAGAGAGGCCGTGCGATGTGTTCTGGATGTAGAGGACCAGTTCTGTAAACACTGGGAAGCCACTAGCTGAACCTTTCTAGAACATCCTTACCCTTCAGAGGCCCCCTTAGACTCACGGGTGAATTTTTTATTATTCAGTACTGGGGACTGAACTTAGGGCCTTCACCCTAAGCTCCATCCCAAGCCTTTTTTGTTTTTTTATTTTGAGACTCGGTCTTGCTAAGTTGCTAAATTGTCCAGGCTTGGGTCAAACTTGCTGTCCTCCTGCCTCAGCCTCCCAGAGTGCACCACCACGCCCAGCCCATGGAGTGACTCTTCAGGGGTCCCTCTGGAGATTCCACTCTTCCCACCCGTCCCCAAACTAAATCGAGAGTCTGGAACAAGCCGTTATAACAGGACAGCCCTAGAACCAACATCCCAATCCTGTCCCCCAGGACGGCCACCCAAACCTCCGTCCTGCTCTTAAAAGGGCCCTAGACAGACGCACTAAGACCCTGCTTGTGTTTGGGGAGTCCACCTGGAAAAGCCCCGCGGCAGCGCTTCCCTTCCCTAACTTTTACAGTGGGGCTCACAGTTCTCAGCCATGACACGGGCAGTTCTAGAACCCTGCGCTACCCAGGCTACTGGGGCCTCCTTCTAGACTTGCCGGGGCAATTCCAGAACCTCCTGCTTTAGAACAGTGCCACCTGAGGGCCGCGATGAGATGAGGAGGACGAGACTTGTGAAAATCAGCGCATAGGGCCGGGGATACAGCTCAGCGGCACAAGCACCTACCTGGCAAGCGCAAGGTCCTGAGTTCAATCCCCAGTACCAAAACAAGAAAGTTACATTTTGGGCTAGGGATATAGCTCAGTGGCCTAAGCGCCTGCCTGGCATGCACAAGGTCCTGAGTTCGATTCCCAATACCAGAAAAAAAAGTGAAAAAAACAAAACAAAACAGCACACTGTTTCCCTCACTGGCATGGTCAATTTTATATATATATATAAAATGCAGCCAGGCATGGTAGTCCATGCCTATCATCCCAGCACTCAGGAGGCTGAAGCAGGAGGATTGCCTCAAGTTATAGGCCAACTGGACTAGACCCTGTCTCAAAAAACAAAAACCAATAACAACAACAACAACAACAAAAAAACCCACAAAGAAACAACAACAACAACAAAAAACCCAAACACAGAACCTCCATCCACCGGACAGAGTGGACCTGGGCACTGCCCCATCCTGTCCCTCTGCCCCATTCACTCTCTGTCCCTCTTCCACAAGTGACCCTAGCCATCCAAGCCCCTTCTGGTCCTGAACCTACATTTCTGCGCCTTCCGCTGTCCCAAGACCCCACTGGCTGCATCCCCACCCGCAGGTCCCTGGTCCCTAGTGGCCTCACCGAAAGCCCTCTTAGGCTGCACCAGGCGCAGGGTGAAGGGCTGGGACTTGGGGAGCTCCCGGAGCATCTTGGCCACCTCGTAGTGGCGGCACCCGACGATGGAGTGGTCGTTGATGGCCTCGATGCTGTCTCCCACGCACACGGTCTCGATGCGATTGATGATGCTGCCTTCCTTGATCCTCTGAGGGGACCCATGTCATCCTCCGCCAACTCAGCCACCCGCTTTGGATCCCTAGAGCCCCCCGGGGCGTCACCTCCCCACCCCCGTGCACGCGCACACCAATTCAGCAGCACGATTTGGGTCCCCAAAGCCCCCATGGCACACCCCGCTCCACTGCGCGCGCATGCGCACACCTTGATGAAGGCATAGCCGGCCCCGTTGTCTGTGATGGTCAGCCCCAGCGCGTCCTCAGTCTTGGTGACCTCCACCTCCTTTGTCTCACCGCGCACGTGGGCGAAGATGAAATCCTCCAGCCCTATCTGTCCCCCCAGCAGCTTCTGCATGTCCACTTTGTGGCTGTTTAGGGTACAGAATAAGATCTGCCCCGAGGAGAGGGGAGCCCGGAGTCAGCCACGGTGCCTAGCCCTCTAGGCCATGTTGTCTGCCCCAGACACCCCAGGCACCCAGGGGTATGCGTGCATGGGCCTAATTGGGAAACTGAGTCTCAAAGGGTGCAGAACTGGCCCAGGCGCCCAGCAGCCAAGATCCCAGCCCATGTGAGATGGCTGGACTGAAGCCAAGGCGTAGGGGTGCACGCCTGGAATTCCAGCACTGAGCGAGGCTGAGGCAGGAGGATCGTAAGTTTGAAGCCAGTACGGATAACTTAGCTAGGCTCTGTATCAAAATAAAATAGAAAGGGCTGGAGATGTAGCTAAGTAGTAGAGCACTCTGGGTTCAATCCCCAGTAAGGAAAAGGAGAAAGGGAGGGAGGAGAGAAGGAGAGAAACAGAAAGAAAGAAAGAAAGAAAGAAAGAAAGAAAGAAAGAAAGAAAGAGGGGAGGGAGGCAGGAAGGGAGGGAACCCCTAGAATAGGGGGGTGTGGGCTGTAGAGGACCCCTTTCCCATCCCCCAGACTACCATTCAAAACCCGGTTTTCAGGGAGATGAAAATTTGTAGGGCCTTCTAGGGTCTTCTCAGCTCCGTGCCCAGGTTGGGCAAACCGCCCCCAGGCCTTTCCACCTGCTGCACCCGGGACGACCAGGCGCTTCCGGAGGGCCGGGGTTCACTCCCAGCCGGGTCCCGGAAGATGCGCGTGGTCCCTAACCCCAGGGCCTCTCATCTCCTACAGGGCGCTCCACGGGGTCGCTGGGAGGTGGCGCTAGGGTCTGAGAGGGGCTTCCCTGCGATCTGGCGACCCAGCCTGACGCCCTCCTCCAACCCGGAGTTACGGGGATCGGGGGACCGAGGTCTCCCGTCGAGGGTCCAGGCTCCACCCGAGCCCGAGACCTGGGGCGCCGCGACCCGGGGTCTTCACCTCGGTGGGCGCGATCCCGAAGGCCTCGGCGATCTTGGCGTAGAGCTCCCGAACGTTGGTGAAGCCCTCGATCTTACCCGTGGGGCTTCCGTGCGCCAGCTGCGTGCGGAAAACTAGGCGGGGGCGCGCGCGGGGCGC